TGTGCATGTATGTGAGTGTTGTGTGTGCGTGTGTGTGTGTGTGTGTATGTCTGTCATACTATATGTGTGTGCATGTGTGTGTGTGTGTCTGTCATACTATATGTGTGTGCATGTGTGTGTGTGTGTGTGTGCATGTGTGTGTGTACATGTGAAGGCTGGAAGACACCTTGCAGACATCTTTCCTTTCAGTGGGTCCCAGGGATTGAACTCAGGTCAGCAGGTTTGGCAGCAGTCACCTTAACCTATTGAGGCACCTTGGCAGTCCTTTAAAATGCATTTTAAGGTTTAAATAAAAGTTCTTTTTCATGTGAAAATAGAACAGTAGGGAAGGCTTGGGTACTCTTAAAAGAATGCAAAGAAGAAAAACCATCCTGAACCTCTGACTTCTTAGAACAACCTAAGAAAGCCCTGATTCCCTTCCTGGTCAGCCAGATCTCATTTAAATAGCTCAAAGGGGAGAATGGGTGCTAGGTCAACTCCAGCTCTCAAACAGCATGGCTGTTTAAGGGATGGACTTGTGAGAGAGAGGAGGCAGAGCAGGAAGCTCCCCTGCAGTGGAGGAAGAGAAAACTGGAGACCTTCTCAGTGACATGGCAGGCCTGAGTCCAAAGGAGACTACTGGAAAATCACTTGGAAGCCACCCAGGGCATGCAACTAAGAGGTAGGTGACAAGGCTGTTGGGCCCAGTGAGGAGATATGTATGTATGTATGTATGTATTATGTGTGTATGTATGTATACATGTATGTATGTATGTATATGAGGTAGCCATTCTATCGACAACTGCATTGATCTAATTCTTTAAATGGAACAGACACAGTATAACACAGCTATTACGTCCAAGGCACCAGGCTATGAGCATGAGAGTAGTGTTGCTCAATGGGTAGGATTGGAAGTAGTGTTTAAGACACTGATGCAATTTAATTAATTACCTCTATCTGACAAGCAATAACATTGGGATTCAGAGTTGCCAAGTGATTAGCCTAAGCTTCGACCTAACTTGGTGATGTAGACTCAAGATTTGCTTGTATGTTCTCGAAATCCAGGGGGGTAGTATGAAACTGGTCCCTCACCCTTTGGGCTTTCTCTTCCCCTTACTGACTGCCTCCAAAGATGTACATAAGCTTCTTAAACTGATATCATGTGCTCTGTCCGTTTCTGCTTTTGCTGTCAGTGCTTTGGGGAAAATGATCCCGAAACTCTTAGCCTGCACCAACCAGCTTGTTAAAATATCTCTTCACGGGTGCTTTCTTCTGAAAGTTTCGTTGTGTTAGATCTCACGTTTAGGACTTTGATAGACTTTGGATCCTTTCTACTCAAAATGAATGATAGAATCAAGTTTCAACTCTTTCAGCACCAGTTAGTAAAAGGTCATCCTTTCTCTAATGTGTATTCTTTACATTTTGTTTTCCTTTCTGTAAGCCACCTAGAAAAGAGGCTCAATGCACTCTTGACCCAAAAAGCCCTAAAAAAAAAAAAAAAAGTCATTCAAAGCAAATATTCACGTTCACCTTAAGGACATCCATGGAACTAGGCCATCAAGGGTATTCTTATCTCAAAAGAAATATTTGAAGGGTGTCACCTTGAAGAAGCAATGTGTGCTCCTCCATCTGTGTAATATGGAGTTGGTAGGTATGCCCAGGCCAAAGAGCAGGAATGGATGCAGGATCACTGGCTCCCAAATTATACTGAATTCTGGCTTCACATGCTTAAGGATGGTTAGAGTAATACCAAGCTGGAGTTTGGGTGTGGTTCTCTGCCATTGAGCAATACCCAGGTGAAGAAAGCCCCCAGGATGTTCTGCTGAGCATAAGGAACACATGGTGGATTAACCCATCCACAAGCTCTCTCCCACCACATGGAAATGACTCTCCCTGACCAGGAACACATTGTTCCTAAGCCAGAAACAGAGGCTGCAAAGAAGAAAAAGATAACTGGGAAGACGCCAGAGAAACAAAAACTTAAAACTTAAGGCGTCAGTGTAACATGAAAAATAAAAGTCCCGGAGACTGATATTAGGGTTCAAACTTCAAGCTGAAGATTAGAAAAGCAAAGCAGCCGGCGCTAGCTTTCAATCTACCTCAGACTGAAGAGGAACCTTGGCTCCACCAAACCTCAGACTGTAACCTCTCCTCCATGTGGCTGGAAAATTCTGGGACTCCAATGTCTTCCTATCCTCAATGTGGCTGGAGAATAAATCCCAGATACTGACCACTGAAGATCCTGCTTCTCCTATCTTTTATGCCCCTGTAGTGCTAGTATTAAAAGGCATGTGATCGCAGGTGTTGGGATCATCTTGGTGTGAGCTGTTTCTCTTTAGGACTGGATCAATCTTGTGTAGATCTGAGTGGCCTTGGACTCCCAGAGATCGGTCTACCTCATAATCCTGAGTCCTAGTTTCTTGCCGCTGGGAGTAGAGGTGTGTATCACCATCGCCTCTCTATAGCTTGAGGCTGGCTTTGCTTTCTGAATCCTCAGGCAAGCTTCAATAAATCATAAATAATATATCACTGCATGCTAGAATAAATATAACATAAGTACAAATAAAAGTTATAAAACTATTCTTTTATAATTCCCTGTACCTTTGATCAAAGTGTCCTTAAATTTGTTCTTATTTTCTTTGTCTATTCTCCTCCCTGGGCCACTTCTTTTGATGTAGTATTGTGTGTGTGACGTACTACACTTAATTAAGCTTGCCTGCACGAGCATGGGCATTTATTGTGTCCCATAATAGTAGGTCCCACTCCAGAACTAGAGAGAGAGTACGAAGGTGGTTACGTAACTAGAGAATAATTAAGAAAAAAGAAGAGTGTGTTTAATGTAGTCAGCACCCTCAAAAATATCACATTCCAGCCAGTTGGTGGTGGCACACACCTTTAAATCCCAGCACTCAGGAAGCAAAGGTAGGAGGATCTCCGAGTTCAAGGCCAGCCTGTTCTACAGGGTGAGTTCCAGTACAGCCAGGATTGTTACACAGAGAAACCATGTCTCAAAAAGGAAACAAAGAAACAAACAAAAATGTACCACATTCCAATCTAACAGACGTGCCACACTCCCATCTAATTTTCTTTCTTTGAAAGGGGTCTTTATATCGGATGATTTCTGATACTCATTTAGACCTGACTCTAACAGGGCTAACATTTTGCAAGGTTGTGCCATTTTAGTATAATTTTAGCTATGCGACCTAGTTCTACTTGTCTAACCATTTTTAAGACTATATTTGGAGAAAACCATGTGTTTTACTTTCATAGTTTTCTTTAGATTGAGGCAAAACGCAATCAACCTTCAGCAGCCTTGTCACCTTTCCTGAAGACTTCCAAAGGCATCCAGGGAGTCTTGGGATCAGGAGCTCCGGGACCTTGTACACACAGCTTCATGCCTCTGGGTTTCTCCTACTTCCTCTAAGATGAAGGCTTAGTGCAGCAAGTCTATGTTTATCCACGGGCCAAGGTTCCTATGACCCTAGACTTAAAATTTACGTGAAATATTTCTGAAATGGTTCTCTCCTGTGAGATCATGCCATGGGTTATAAAACACAAGATTTGTGTATATGAACACTGCTTTTTAGGAATATATATATATATATATATATATATATATATATATCATATATACTGACATATAACATACATGTATGTGTGTATATACACATGATCAGTACACCCTAGCTCTATTCATTTTACTCCCAAATAGTTTTCTGCATCCAATTGCTACCCTTCTTTTCCTCTGAAGCTGCTCTAGTCCATACCCTTTGAACTGCCTCATTGAGACCAAAGTGGCTGCTCCCTCATGGCTGTTTCCAGGCTTGTCTGCATTCCACAGTGCCATCAGATCCATCTATCTACAAAGGGGTATCATGAGGCCATTCTCTACCTCAAAACTCTCCCATGGTTCTCCTGCGCTGAAAGCTGAAGTCTAAGCACAGACTAGGGCTGGGAGAAAGGTCAGCAATCACCATAAGTACCCTGCCATCAGTAATCCTACCCAGTCTCACTTCTTAACACTTGTGGTGTCCATCAACCCAACCCAGGGCTTGTTCCCTAATTTGCCCCAAGTCTGTTACGAACTTTCGACTCTCCCATGGCATGCTTTTCCTCTCCTTGTTTGCCTAAGAACCTTCCCATACTGTATGTGCATCTTTTTACATTAATTGTACTTTCCTTTCTTCCCTAACAGATTTTAACAAAATAAAAGCTAAAATTATAGCTGGGCCTGGTGGCTCATACCTGTAATCTCAGCATTTAGCCAAGAGAACAATGACAAGATGGACACACATAAAATATACTCTCACGTGCCCATAACACACACACACACACACACACACACACACACACACACACACACACACACACAGAGGCATACAAATGCCAAAAAACAAAAGGCTAGGTTTGTGGTTTATTTACCATTATATCTTTACGGATTATATTAGTAATTGACATACACACACACACAGAGAGAGAGAGAGAGAGAGAGAGAGAGAGAGAGAGAGAGAGGCATACAAATGCCAAAAAAAATGAAAGGCTAGGTTTGTGGTTTATTTACCTTTATATCTTTAGGGATTATATTAGTAACTTACACACGCACAACAGATGTTCAAGAAATGGTAGCAAATACAAATTTGATTGGCTTGAAATGCCTTCCAGTAAAATTTTGAAAAGAAAGCATCTCTGTAGCAGACTCTCCTACCACGTGTCAGCTCACTTGTATTCAGATGGAAATGCATTTTGTTTTCAATGTAGGCCATGAAAACTTCAAGGGACTTGTACGTGCTACGGGGCTCAAAGTGTGGACCCAAAGGCAGTGACAAAGAGATGGCGCCAATTGCTGAGAGGTATCAGGAGGGTGTGGTGACACACACCTTCAATCCCAGCACTGGGGAGGCAGAGGCAGATGGAGCTCTGAGGAAGGACGGAAGGACGGAAGGAAGGAAGGAAGGAAGGAAGGAAGGAAGGAAGGAAGGAAGGAAGGAAGGGCAATAATCAAGCAGGCAGGCTGCTCCTACCGGTCAGCTCTGCGTTGGGCCACCACCCCAGGTCGCAGGCTCTGCAGGTGAACTCATCTTGCACAAACTCATTCTCTTTGCACGCGGTACAGATCCAGCAGCAGCTCACTTCTCCTTTCCGGATGACCTGCAAGACAGGAAGGTGTGCACGGTTCCATAGGCTATCCTCCTGATCCAGCCTTCCAGCTATGGAAATGCTAAGATGGCAGGTGTGAGCCAACACTGGGCCCAGCTATGATCTTAGCTTTTATTTTCTTCAAATCTGTTAGGGAAGAAGTGGGAGGAAAATATAGCATAGCAATTAGTATGAAAAGATGCTTATGCTGGACATGACGGTTCGTAGAAAGATGCTTGGAAGTCAGCACCCCAGACACGCTCCTGTTTCAGGTGGGGACTTGTCTTTACAACAACCTTGACAAATCTACTGGCTAAAGGAAAGCAAGGAAAGTTTGCAAACCTCATGATCTTAGAGATTGTGAGTGGACATCAACTCATTCCATTCTGGGTCTGGAAGTGTTTTGGTATCACTTTTAAACAATGAATCAATTACATTACTTTTTAGCATTTTTTAAGAAATAAAAATTTAAAACAGGCATATGGTGGTGCATGCCTTTCATCCCAGCACTCAGGAGGCAGAGGAAGGGTGATCCCTGTGAGTTTGAGGCCAGCCTGGTCTATAGCCAGAGTTCCAGGACAGTAAAAAGTACATAGTAAAACCCTGTAACAACATGAAACAAAAATACATCATTATCCTTATTTATTTTAACACTTGCTAGTTACCTTTAAAAGTAAAAACTGATGAAATATTTTCCCCTGAAGAAACTTTTCCATCGATGCTGTGGGAAGGTGGAGATAGAGCAGAAATTGGACACATACTTTTCATTTTGAATATTTTAGATCGTCTTCTCCCTATGTGGATGAGTGGCTGGACCTAGAGCTAGGCTTCTTTGGCCAAGACCTCAGAAACAGTATCATGTGATATTCGTCCTGATAACGTGTTGGGTTTTCCACATTTCTCACAGTGTCTAAGAAGTTTAAACCAGATGCTGGTCATGATGCTGGTGAAGGAACCAGGCACTGAGTTCTTTCTCTCCATCTTTCATTAGTTTTCGACCTTGTCTAGCAGGCAGTTTGCTAAGCCAAGTCTTCACCACTTTGGACCCTGCCTTTGATGGGGAATATCCAACCCTTTGACACTGTGATGTTGTTTTTCATCTACAAATGTGTCGGGCCACATTCACAGCTATCTTAAAATACATGTGGCCCAGGGGCTGCAGGTTGGACATACTTGCTATAGAGTAAGCCTCATTAATAAATTCTGATTATTCTAGTTCCTGTTCAATCGTATTCAACAAGACATCTCCATTCTGGCTATCAGAAATTGAGACAGTTGTTGGCTCTGTGTCACCTCTGAGAATTCACTTCCATGGGCTTTGCCCTTTGCCTGGATTCTTCAGATTCTACTCCACTTATATGCAGAATGATGCTCAAATACTCAAGGGGATGTCTGTGCTTATTCCGGGACTATTTGTTTGTTTCCTGCAGAAATCCGTCGTCTTGTTACTCTGTACTGCAAATTGCAGTTCTCCTGGCCTTCCCCAAATCTGATTCTGTCTTCTTGAATTAGCAAGATGACCAAACTCTGTGTTCTGTGTAGTTGAACAATCGGGAGATTGCCTTCAGGCCGGAAGCCTGCATGGTTTTAGGGTTTTCTTTGCACATTTTTTTTTTTTTTTTTTTTTTGCTTCCCTGGCATCAAGGTCACGAGCTGTCTTCCAATGTCGGAACACAGTGTTTTCAAATACTCCATCAAGCTTTCTCATTGTTTATGGCAGAAGGCACAGACTGCACCCTGGTATTCCCTCTCAGAAAGTAGCAGAAGTCCATCACTCGCACATTAAAAATAACAAACATTTCCATATGTAAAGTCAGAATTAAGCTGTAAATATTGCCATAATTTGAAGTGATAGACACCCCAGCCTTCATAAATCTGAAATTATTTTCAGGAAGAGTTGAAATTTATACCCTGACTTTAGAATTGCAGGGAAAGATCAAATGACATAATATTTTCAAACAATCATTGCTTTCTAAATGGTAAGGCATATTTTTATTGCTTTCTTATTTAATTAAGATGAGTTGCATATTAAAAATCAATATAAAATACTATGTATCAGTTCAACCAGCTTTAATCTTTCATCTCCCAGTAAAACTAATATTACTATTTAGGTAAATTCAAAAGATAATACTAAATACATTTACCAACCCTTACTTTCTGAATTCTTTTAATACCTCTCATGTTTTCTGTTCTTCAAACAAAGCTTTGGGATCAAAATGGCAAGAGCTAATCTACTAGTTGATTTTAACAGGAATGCTGATATAATATTAGTGACACAAAATTCTGTGGGTATGTTACAATGCTTCCGTCATTATAAAATGAATGGGATGATCATGCTTTTCAAAGTCCTATCCAGCAGAGCTCACATAATGCAATGTTTATATTCTATCATGTTGCCTGAAGTTGTTTTTCCTCTCAGGGGGACATTGAGTGTGCTACGAACAGGTGTGATGGAGATTAGTATAGGAATATTACAGCATTCCCACACCTCTGTCTTCAGGTTCCTGTTAAATAACACAGACTTGGTATAAAGTCTATTTCTCATTGTTGTTTCTATATAAAGCAGCAGGAACAATTCACATCAAAGAGTAGAGATACACATATACAGGCAAAGAGTCACATAGTCTATAGCTTCTCTGTCTTGTCATGTTTTTCTCAAGTAACATCTTTTAGAGAATAATTCTGAAATTGGACTGAATAGGCAAAGGTAATACCTAGAACTACTTAACAACAATAAAAAATAAGCTGGAAAATGTGCAGACATATAGCATGGAAACGGCAGAGCATAAGAAAGTGTTAGTAAGGGTCAGTTATTGCAAGGATGATCAGAGAATACTCACATCACTTGGAATCCTAAACCCCTACTGTGCTACAGTCTTGCAAACACTCAGCAATTGTCTAATACTATTTTGTGTCTAAAGAAGATAGGGTAAATATAAAGAATTGAAATTATCAATGCAATTTAAAAGATATCATTAGAAATACCAAGTTTTCTCCAAAGGGAACTTCTCCATGATAACTCCTCCCCCATCCACCCTAACACCCCAATGGCAGTGCATCCTCAAATGCTCAGGGCACATATCTAGGAATACCCTGATCCAATTAGGGAACAAGTAGAAATGGTTGCTGAACGTACTCTTTAAGAGACCTTGTATCTATCAGAACATCTGATATCACACTGAAAATTATAATGTCCCCTGTACTTTGATGCTCAACAGATCTGCTCTTACCCATTTTTCTGCAGCCATAAAAACAAACAATCAATAAAACAATAATACTAATTCCAGAGAGATATAAGAGGCTAATCTTGCATGAGGGGATGTTTATCAGTTCAAATTAAGCAGTCTTTTGAGATCCATATTTCTATATTCTTTTAAAACTTAACCTCTCTCTATCTCTCTATCTCTGTATAAAATACAGTAAACACATTGGCCAAAATCATGAGTAGAAAAAATTATTTCAGTTTTGAAGCCTGTATGTGTGGCCTGAATTTGATCTAAAAAAGAAACAACAACCAAAAAACAAATTAAAAAAAAAAAACCAGCATTGCTTTACTGCACAACAATAGGCCATGTATAAAGAGGAAATGTTTGCCATATGTGCCATTTTCTCCAGGATATGCGAGGATGAAAGGAACCTCTCCTCTCTCTTGCCCCAGCCTCCAACCCAGTCTCAGAGTCTTGGGAACACCATCTATAAGTCAACTTAAATGGAAACTGTGTAAGTGGAGGTGTTGAGGGGGGAGGAGAGAGAGCATGCGGGAGATCTATAAAGCAATCTCTACAGATTCGTTCATTCTCTGGTACTTTCTTTGTCTCTACTAAACTTCCCCCCCCCTGAGCTTTTCTCCCTAATTCTACATACTCTTCCTTTTGTATTTTTAAAGTGGATCAGTATTTTTGTTTTTATTGTGAACTGTTGAAAACCCAGTGCTTGGAAATTGAAATCCGCACTTACAGGAAACATGCCAGTTCACATAACGACAGAGTTGAACGACATGTGGCCGTGGGATGATAAGAGCTTTGGGTTGGCTGTCAGCCCAGCTTTGTAACTAACATTCTAGATGCAAGAATGAAGAAGCATGAGACTGAAGCCCTCTGGGTCTTAGATCCATCACCTAGAAAGGGAGGGCCAGTAATACCTTCTGTGTAAGAGCCACTGCGAGGAGTTAACTGCTAAGGAATTCACCGTACTTTGACAAGGACTTACAGGGTGACTCTAAGTCCCTGGCTTCCTTCCTCCTTCTTTCTTCTAATCGTCAACTCTCCTACCCAGTTTTGCTCCTCTACGTCTTATGTCCTCCTCATCCTTTGCTCCCACTTGTCTGGGTTAGAATCACCCAATGACTTGCCACTGAAGGCTTGCAAATAGTCCAGTTCTTATGGTGCAAGGGTACCTGTGAGATGTTGCCTACTCTCTTCTAGGTCCATTTGACAATGAAGAAGGACTAAGGGCAAGAACACAGAACACAGGGGATCTTCACCCTCCCCACCCCACTGTACATGAAAGCATCTTAGAACAAGGCTCTGAACTTTTCATTGTCCTTCTATTCCAGGAGTGCGAACTGGGCCCCACTGTTTCTCACCCTTGGGTTGCCACAGTGACCTCTGTTACTTTTTTTTTTTTATAACCAGTTTCCTATATTCAATGCCCTTTATTAAACTGTGTGGCACAGAGTCTTTTGACCAGGCTAGATTTGTAAGAAAAAAAACAACAAAATGTATTTTGTTTACATTGTCTAGAATTGGCTCTCTCGATAAAGTATTAGCACCAAATATATTGTTTCTTATAAGTTACATATGTCTAAAAATAAGGAATAGGAAATGGGTTCTTAATAGCCTCAGAATAAATTATTATCATAAACTTTAATTATTAGAATAAAGTTTTATGGATTCTCAAAAAGGCATCAAATTATTACTTTATTGTGTTAAATGTATTAACTTTATGTTATTTGATGTTTAAAAGGTTTTTAGTTTGTTTGTTTGTTTGTGAAGACTCCACTTTCCAGTTAATACAAATTCATGTCCTATGATCCTTTTCAGGCTGACTCTCCTCACAGTGGCTATTGAGATCTTGCTTGCTATCCTAAACCTGGTAGGTGGTAAATTAGCGGTGTTAGACTATAAGTGCTATTATCTGGTAACAGGGATTCAGATTTCATTTGTTTTTCTACCTCCCAAGGTATTTATGGGAAACAAACAAACATCTCTCCAATCCAGGTGCTGCTGAAAACAGACATGGTTTTCTCTTGCAGAGTACAGAATATTTCTAAAATTGGCCCCCAAGAGATTTGCATTTATGGTGAGTACTTTGCAATGGCTCAACAATGATTACCACGTTCTCATGTGAGAACGTCATAAGGGTGTAATGCAGACATACTGCTAGAAACACTTCAGCATTTCGGCAGACAGATACATGCAGGCAGCCTTGCCTCTCTTCTGGAATGTACAATGAGAACCTGTGTGAGCATGCTCTGTGAGCACCAGTCATGGCCTGCCAAGGACAGAATGACAGGAGAGGCTATGCAGGGATCTGGAATCTGGCAAATCCGTGGGGGGGGGGCGGAAATGTTTTTCCCGTCAGTTTTCTCCCTCCACCCTATACCTGAAGAATAAGATCATTTCATTAGCTGTTCAGCAATGATCATCTGTAAAGTCAACTCAGTATCACTCCAATTGAAAAAGAGTCAGAACGATAGTGATTGGGAACTTCTCTGTTTACCCCACATATGACTTGAGTCATCCAATGTTTTGTTTTTTCTCTACATACAAACAAACAAAAAGAGCTCAATACAACAAAACATCCATTGGTCTGATGCCTCATAGTAACAGTCAAGGGGAAGTCTGAAGCCTCGGATCCCACCACCAGCTAGCCTTAGGTGAAAGAGTTCCATCTAGGAGAAGAAAGGGGATGTCTACTGAGAAGCAGACCTATTTGCTCACCTGTGGTGATTTGGCTGGAGTCACTCATACACAACTGAAATATCTCTGCATAGGCTGGAAACTAACATCATCTCCCTATTTCCTTTGCCTTATACTACCCAGGCCATGAACAGAATCCTTGGCGAATGAGGTCCACTGAATTAGTACATGTTCTTTTCCTAAAACAAAATACTGGGGGCTACAAGATTTTGAAACAAGACAGAATCATTTAGTTCGTAGTTTTGATGACTTAAAGCCCAGGATTGGACAACATTGTTTGGTTGCTTATCGGGGCTCCCTTTGAGCTACAGCACAACAAAGAGGAGAACTGGTTGTATACAGAAGGGTCTAAGCACATGAGTGACCTGACTTCATAACACACTGCTGCCAAAATAACTTATTGAATGAGACAAAGGATATATATTAATCTGTTTGGGGACTGACACCCCCAATGACCTAATTAATTACTTTTCCATTGGGCCTACCTCTTAAAGGTCCTACCATCTCTCACGTGTCACACTGAATACTAAGTTGCAGCACACAAACCTTTGTGGCACACACAGACTATAATACCTACAAACTAAGGGCTTAGCCATGACCATGGTGGCCATAGTAAGAGATCATCAGCACACACCTATCTAGCTACCATGAGTATAATTAGCTTTAGTGCAACTTCTTCTGAGAAGGTACAAGATAGTTACACCTACAGCTTCATTATTTCCTCAAAGTGGCAAGAGTTACCATGAGTTTTTTCCTCCCTGACAAGCTTTCTTAGCTGCTTCATGGTCTTAGATGTTCTAAAACTTTCAGCTTTTCTAGTAGTTCATAAAAGGATTCTCAATCCTCTACAAAAAAAAAAAAAAAAAACTTAGGCTAGGTTCTGGTCCCAGGAAACTTAAGTATACTCAGTGTTCCTCAGCATCCTTTGGACCTTGCCTGTATGGCGTGGGAAGAGTCTCCTGGGAAGAGCACAGCATCATGATGACACAAGGGAGGGGTCCAGATCTTCACACAAGATCGACTCCAGCTACAGCTGTGGTGTACGACATTTACGTGGCTGCCTGTCTGCTTCTTGAGATGAATCATAGCAAATTAGAGCCAGGGAAGACCTATTAGTTTATCTGAGCTATTGTGAGCCTGCCAGCTCAACGCCCCTTCCCTATACTCTACTGCTTCCTGCAATGCCCAGTCAGAGTGTAAACAGCCTGGACCTGAAGCCATGCTTCCCAACCTTCTTCACTGACCTTTCTGCCCAGCATATCCAGCAAGAAACCTGGTATTTCATATTTATTTTCTCTAGTTTTCTGCATACAGTAATATCATGAGCTATTTCCTCTCTCTCAAAAGTCCCTGACTATAATTAAATATTGGACACTATCATTGTTCAAAAAAAATAATAATCCAGTTCAGGAGAACTCAGTAGGGAAAGGGCACTGCTAACCAAAGTGTCTGCTTTGTTTTGGTCTTCCTCTGGCCCATGATCGATTGTCATTTTAGTTCTATGTATGGCACTGGACAGCTTCTGCCTTCTTTAACCATAGCTGAAATGGTGCCACAGTGAAGTTCATTAACACATCCATCACAATCCATGCTGCGCATCAGGTCCCCAGAGCTCTCTTTCGTAATAGCTGCCACTATGACTAAGCACCATTACTGGCTTCCACACTTGTTCTTGTTTTGAATTTTAATGCTGTTATTTATCTCTTTGCTGCCTACATTGTATGTAAGTCCCAAGTTTGTCATTGCTATTAAAATAAAAACGTAACACTAATCCAATAGTTCATATAGTTCTAAGGCAAATGTCTAGAGATCTAAATATCTAATATAATCTAAATACCTATCTAAATGTCTAAAATCTTATATCCTAACGTAATAGTCACCAGTGTCTTAACCTTTCTCTCCCACACCCTTTTGGGTAGTCTTGCTTTTAACATATGTTCTTCCTACTACTGCACAGGCGGCCAACCTCCTTCCCAATAATGTCCAGGGATATAGCCGTGGCTTACCTTAATCTGACCCTTTAAGCAAGGCTCACTGCACACAGAGCGGACCATTCCACTTTTGTTCATCTGGATTTTGTAATCATCGATGTTCAGTACGCCTTCATGCCAGGTTCCCACGTGGACATAGTCATAGCGATTACCTTCAGTGTACTGCAGATTCATGATGTCATACCTACATAGAAAGTGCATACATGCCAGTCTTCCTGGGCATTTCCCTGATGGAGAAAACAAGGACACTTGTAAACAAGCAGGTTTCAGTAAAAGAAGAGAAATCTAAGTTAGGGTCATCGCACATCCCAGCACCGGTGACTGTCACGTTTATAGTTTATTCTGAATATTTCTTTTCAGAGAATATCTATATACCATCAATTTCTGCTAAAGAATATATTGCTCTTGAAGTTTTTCTCTATTTATACTCCAAAGGGTAATGATATATGTGTTTAATTGATCAACTCCTTAAACCCATGTGGTACACTTTGAACAAGTAACAATTCATGAGAACATTAATTTCCAAGTTAGATTAATTTTATTTCATATTCCCCTTTTATACTAAGTTACAATTTTCAGTTATAATTTTCATTACAATGAACTTTTAAGGGGGAAGTGGAGGTATTGCACGGCAAGGAACCTGAAAAGGGCACCTTTAGTTAGTAAAGAGGTTAAGGATTTAACGTATGTGTTAGTGAGTAGTTGTATTAAATGTGTGTATTTGCTGCATTTGTGTGTGGTACACACACATGAATTATGAATGACAGCCATGTGTACTTGTGGAGTCTGGAATATGACATTTGCCATCTTCTTTCATTCTCTATCTTGCTGCCTAGTGGCAGGGTCTCTCATTGAACCAGAAGCTCATGATTTTAGCTATGTTGGTCGGCCAGTGAGCTTCTGAGGTCTTCCTGTTTCTAATACCCCGTGCTGGGACTACAATATGAGTAATTGTTCCTGGTGTTTTATATGTGTGCTAGGGATTTAACACACAGGTTTTCTTTCTTATCAAGCAAGCACTCTTACCCATAGAGCCATTTTGCCAGCCAATTTATTATTTTGTACATTGACATTCAAATGGATCTCTACCTGATTGAGACAAACATTTGTCAAACTGAACATATGGTGTCAGCTAAGTTATCTCAGCAGAAAACCTGAAAACTTCCTCTAGTGAGGGTGGCACTGTGTACCTACTTTTTTTTTTTCCTGTTTTCTTTTTCCCTTCAAGAAATATTTACTGTAATCAAAGTGTCTTCTGGGAGCCAGAAAATATTTTTCCCCAGGGCTACTATGGCAGAATACGATGGATAGAACAGAGGACTTGTCATCGGGATCAGGCTAGAGCCTCATCTCACATTTTAACAGCAAGCAGTACTACTCAGAAACTGTCACTAATCTCTGCAGCTTTCTTAGGGCTCTTATATGGATTTGAGAACCTAAGACATGTCAGAAGCTACTTTATATTTCAGGAACGTGCATAGGTCCTATATCTCAATGTCTACATCTCCCCTATTTATGTGCTAAGACCCTTACTCCAAAGCGATTGGGCAGTGACAGGCTCATGAGGAGGGAACCCCTCAGGGTTGAGATTCTTGCCTCTGCAAAATCAGTTGGAGAAACCTCTCTTGCCTTTCTAGTCCATTTGAAACCATTACAAGGGGCCATCCATGAGTCAGAAATCAGGCCCTTGTCAGACACCAAACCTGCTGGTGCCTTGATCTTAGGTGTCCAGAACCAGGCATCTACTATTCATAAACCACAGGGCAGATGGTACCTTATACAGCCCTAAAGGTAAGACTCAGTATGCATTTGGAGCATTGCTTAAGACCATTCATAGTTCTATTTCTAGGAACTTGTTAATATACTTAATATACTGGCTAACTCTATTACATTAAAAAAAAAAACAAGAACAAAAACAAAACACACCCTTGGGAAGACATTGCTGTTGGCATAGCCATTCATTTCTGACAATTCTCTAGAGGTCTTCCTTTTTTTCCTACTAGAACACACAGTAGTTTACTTACGCTCTATGCAGAGGGACTGTTGTCTGCTGAGCTCTGCACTGTCCTTAACCTCCTGGACTAGAATATGAGTCATCGTGTCTCCCTCTCCTTATGCTTAACCAAAGGAACTAGATGGACATTAACCTCTTCCTGAGCAGTCTTCTATCCCGCCCTACCTCCTTGCCCCTACTTTTTTCATTCCAGAATTCTTTTGTCTTTGACCTAGTCAGGTCCAATCTCCTTTTCAGTACTCTGGACAGCTACTGACTATTAGCCTGTGTTGTCTCCCATTTGGCTATACCTGGCCCCACTTCCTTATCCAGACAGTAACTATCCACTTACTGGCATTGCTCTGCCAGTTCTTAATGTGCAAATGTGCCCTGTCCCCCACAGGGTAACTCAAGGCTTCTCCACATTCAGATTCTAACTAACAGTTTCTACAAATAGCAGCTTCTTGAAAGAAAAGCAACTTATGGAAAATAAAGAAACTTTCCCCTTGCCCAGTGGGGAAAACTTACAGAGTGTGTCTGGAGCTCATTATTTATCTTTTCTGCTCTGGCTTTTGATTAATACTTATGATTCCCCCTTGTTACTGAGGCTTACCAGAATATTTCGAAGTAGCTCCGAGTTGGAGTTAAATGGCTATTAATTGTGAGCTCGTAGCTCATACTCATCTAAGGGTCAATGAATGATCTATACCTGAACACAGGCAATGAAACTTGTGACTGTTCAATAGGAGCCTTTCCATTTCCCCCATTAATTTCTGCACTTCAGTCCATATTAGGAAGTGACAATTCCTCATGCGCTTAACGATGGCCTTGCAAGCTGCCAGCTTAAACCACTTTCTCCTTGTAAATCACTTCCTGAAACTCTTATTAGCACCTCCTTGTTCATGCTTTCATAAAGAAATCAGTTCACACTTCATTAGCATTTGGAAACCGCAATCTCGCAATAGTTTCTTATGAAAACACTTTTTTTTTTTTTTTTTTTTTTTTTTTTTTACAAAAAGTTCCAAATGCTGGAGGGAAAACAACAACAACAAAACTACTTAAATATCAAGGGAAGAATCCAGGCTTATGGAAGAACAGAGTTCCCAGCACTGGCATCTAAATAATAAGCACAGCCCCACCCCACCCCTTTATCCCCAGGGTTCCTTCTGGTATGTTCTTTCACTTTATTTGGAGGGGAGAAAAGATCCCTGAAAAGGAATCTGGGAAAGACTTGGAAGTTTAACGTGCAATTAAAGATGGAAGACATGGAAGCTGAGTTGCTTTCTTGTGACCTGGATGACTTAGAGTGTGGTAATCCAGCCCTGTGGTAATTAAACACTGTAAATTTCACATGCGATTTGGAGTTCTGTTGTTGCTATTATTATTATTATTATTATTATTATTATTATTATTTTGCTGTTCGGAATCATGGAGGAGGGTTTACAGTGAAGTCTGACCTCTACTAAGCCTCATTTTCAGTGGATTCAGGCTTATAACAGTGGGGTTAGATGGGTGGACCACCTCCTCTTCTGAATCTCAAACCTTTGTTCCTCCTGTACAATGCCCTAAGGTACTTAGAGCTCCACATTCCCAGGCCCTGAAGCATCCATCCTACTCCATTCTAAGCTAGCGTCATCTCTCCCACCTAACCAGCATCTTGGAAGGAATGCTGTAATACACGTTTTAATTGTTGACAAAGACATACCATTTATCCTGTATTGGGTTGTATTGGATTTTTACAGATTTCACTTAGCCCACATGGGGGATTTCCCCTCAGGTAGAACTTGACACCTCTATGCAAAGTCTCTCACAGTGCTCCCTTGTGATACAATGAAAGCTCCCAGTAAATTAGCCTAATTTTAGGATTAGATAAAAAGCAGCTTGGTGTGGCCAGGCAATGGCAAACCCCAGGATCAGATCACACTGCCTCCTCCACTTGCTCTGTGTGTGACTCTTAGTGACAGGCTTACTTTGACACTCATTACATGTCAGAAAAGGAAATCAATGCACCAAGAGTTGTAAGACTTAAATCATTTGATGTTTCAACTTAGCATAGAAAATGTTACCCCTGGGAATCTCTGAGTCTATAAAACCACACCCCGGAAGATAGCAGGACCTATATGATGGGCTCACTGTGTCATCTATAGGCTCATCTACAGGGCTTTTTGACTTCCTGTTATAGATTTCAGTTTCCCGCCATTCTTATTATCTCTTTCCTAGGAAAATGCATATGAATTAATACAACTAATATTGACATGGAGCACATTTGCTATGTACCAGCTAGGTATGAGCTCACTGATGGCATCGAAACAAATGTTGTAGAACAGATTGTGTGTAAAATGACTCAAAGGAAAATTATATATGTAACTTCCTTTTCTGTTTGCTTTTTTTTTGGGGGGGAGCCACTCAACCAAACTTCCGTCCCCAAATTCCAAGTCCTTCTTTTGAGAGATAAGGATGTGCATGCAGGGTTTGCTTCCTGTCACATAGTATTAACCAGGTGTAATATGGATACTATTGCATGGGTAGAATAGCACTGTGTCTATCAGTTATGAATGGTGCTGGCTGGTCTAGGCAGTGGGTGCTATGTCCTACTATACAAGTGTAATGCTCTTAGGAGGTCTCAGGAATCCTGAGGGAAAAACCAGGTGATTTCTTGGTGTGAGGGTGTAGCTAGCAGGGTGCAAGAATCTTAGAATTAAACATGAAATATTTTAATTTTCAAAAGAGGTGTGGTCTTAGCTTCATCCATATTTTTTATCTGTTTAGGTGAGTTTATCTTCAACATTCCCAAACTATGGGACTCCAGTTGCCATTGTCTAGCTCAGGGGTCATGGGGATACAGATCCTTTACCTTCCAGGAGCATCCCCCTCTCATCGAACCACACCTCCTCTCCAGATACTCCAACAAAGGATGATCTAATGAGGAAATCCAGGAGCTTCCTGCCATCAATGGGCTTCATGGCATCACACTGGCCCACATGGCCAGGACATAGAGCATGGTCATGTTCTGAGCCCATGGGCCATGGCGTAGATGGCGTTGATGACAAACCCCATTTTACTGTCCTGGACATAGTTTTCTTCTAAGCTTTATTCCCTGTAACAATAAAACAGATCACTGCCAGGTCGAAGCATAAATGAATAAAACAGGCTACACACTAGTGTCCAGTGAAATCAGACTACACACCCAAGTTCAATGCAAATTAGGGATGATCACCAATACTCAGGAAAATGGGCTGCACACTGTGTCCAGTGCAAATCATGGCTACACACCTAAAGTTCAATGTAAATCAGGGCTACACACTCAGTGTCCAGTGCAAATCAGGGCTGCACACTCAGTGTCCAGTGCAAATCAGGGCTACACAACCAAAGTTCAATGCAAATCAGGGATGATCACCAACTCAGGAAAAATCAGGGCTGCACACTCTGTGTCCAGTGCAAATCAGGGCTACACACCCAAAGTTCAATGCAAATCAGAGCTGATCACCCAATACCAGGACAAATCAGGGCTACACACCCAGTTCAATGCAAATCAGAGCTGATCACCCAATACTCAGGACAAATCAGGCTACACACTCAGTGTGAGCGCAAAATGGGGCTACACACCTAAAGTTCAGTGCAAATCAGGGCTGCACACTCAGTGTCCGTGCAAATCAGGGCTACATAACCAAAGTTCAATGCAAATCAAGGATGATCACCAATACTCAAGAAAATCAGGCTGCACACTCGGTGACCAGGGCAAATCATGGCTACACACCTAAATTCAGTGCAAATCATGGCTACACACTCAGTGTCCAGTGAAATCAGGGCTGCACACTCAGTGTCCAGTGCAAATCAGGGCTACACACCCAAAGTTCAATGCAAATCAGAGCTGATCACCAATACTCAGGAAAATTAGGGCTGCACACTCAGTGTCCAGTGCAAAATGAGGCTGGCTACCATTTGCACTACCATTCATACTCAGTATGAATCAAAGCTATAGAAACTGAGACACTGAAAGGATCATGATGTTGGCACAAAGCAAAGCCCACTTTGTACTTTGACCAACTGTACCACATTCTGTCTGGAAACAGCGTGTTTTCCCTTCCCCCCCTCTTTGTTCAGGAACTATTTTATGAGTTATGGCACAAACAGCATAGAGGAGGAAATAAAGAATTTTCATATAAGTAAATCATCCATCAAGGAGCAATGGAAAGACTTCTTCCCCCCTTCCCTTTTGAGGTACTTATATGCAAACCTCTCCATCTCATGGAACAGGAAAATTATTTTTGCATCTGTTATGACGATCTGTAATTCATGGTAATTCTGCTTGTACAATGTCAAGTCTCTGGTGGTTTGTTTTTGTGACTGTTCTTAGATTGTGGTATCTAGGAACGTAAAAACCAGGGTTGGAAGAATTATGTTTAAAATGCGTTTGTCAATCAGCAGACACTTGGAAGTATTTCATGGTGGAAAAGTCATACTCTACAACAAATTTATTCCTGTTTACTTGTGAATCACAAGCTTTGTTACTTGAAATCCCTGCATTCCTTTCTACCCTTGTTAGAGGTGAGTAAAACTTCCCCAACATCCAGCTAGTTTCATAGTAACTGTAGCATGAGATCTGACGTCCATATTGGAAATTTCTGCTTTAGCACATGGATATGCATGACAAGTTTAGAGTCCTTTGGGCTTTGGGAAAGAAAAGTAACACTTTTGGAAAACAAAGTTGATGACTATATCACTATTTATAAAGTCCAGATTAGAGCCTCAGGAGCATAAGGAACTTTGATTTGGATGTTGAACTTGAGTAAAAATAGAAATTCCTGGAGTTCTATTTAAAGAATGGTCTATTTAGATGAAGTTGAAAATTAAGACAGACACTTGTGTATCATTTCCCAAGAGTGAGGTGCAAATGATGGAATGAACCAAAATCCATCTTCCAAATGCCTGAGTGGTCCATGTTAGGAGTGGAATTTGCTTAAGTACTATTTGTCACACTGTTAGAAAAGGTTCCAAGAGGAAACTAAGAGTAAGTCAGGTCAAGAGGGCACTGGAAAATCAAACCACACAGAATGAGTGCACAGCATTGAACTAGGCAGAAAATACAGACGCTCCCACAAAACTTGCTAAGTCATTGAAATAAGGTGACTAAGTCCCTTGGTATCTTCACTAAACTCTGTCTCTAACCCAGTGGCTGTCTAGTGGTTCATCATTCATCAGCACCAAGACAGAATCTATTCTTGGATGTCTGTAAAATCAGTGCTGTCCTCTTTTGAACCTTATTTAGGCGATCATATAACTTATCCAAATGGGTCATTTCTTTTCAGGATGAAAGTAAATGGGAATCATAATTTTTCCAGAATGCAAGTGAGAAGAAGGCAGGCTAGGGAAGTCTGATAATTTGAACCAGAGGCTATGACCTCCAACTAAACTTACTTAACAATATAATATGGACAGGCTTTTTGTATATACAAAGGTAAATATAAATATTTGCAAATGTATCTACAGAAAGTAGAATGCTTTTATTAGTTTTAACTAATGTTAGATTCAACTTCATTTTAATGACAAGTCATAATGTGCATTGCTACCAACCTTGAGTCTATGTTATAACCCAGTAAATGAGATTCTTCCATATAGACACTAACCTCCCACTTTAGGTGAGGAAAGAATAGGGTATAATATGGGTCCAAATGTCTCTCCTCTTTCAATGGTGCTCAGCAGCTACATGGCAGATACAAGACTTTACATAGGAGGCAGAGGCAGTGGGTATTGAGCTGCGCACCAAAATCTTTCTTTAGGCCCAGTTTAGTGTGTCCCCCCTTGGATTATTCCAGATGTACACAGATGCCCTACAAGTGAGAAGTCCTGGCTGCAATTCATCAGCATAATCATGACAGAGAAACCCAGCCTGCCATTAGTTGGCATAGAGAGCTCTAGAAACCTTGGCAATGTGTCTAAGCAATGCTCTAGAAGATAAATCTTTTATGCTCTTTCTAAATTAAACTTGACAGCCCACAGATCTCCCTATCCTCGTAGTCCACGGCCTCTGTATGTAAAGGGGCAGCCATAATGAGAACTTTTTTAGCTACTAACCCAGGCTCACCCTATTGTGCTCCACTATGGTGGACATTAACTATTCACAACTGCCTCAGGTCATATTGCAAAGATGTATCATATGTCTGTCTGTCTGTCTGTCTGTCTGTCTATCTGTCTCCCTAGCCATCCACCCACTTACTTACCTACGTAACTAGGCATTGTAGAGTGTGTTTGTCCGTTTTCCATGTCCCCCAAAGATCATATATTTTCAGAAAACAGGGAATTAAGAATCAAAACTAATAAGATTGTCCTTTAGTGAGAAGGTAAAGCAATTCCATTCCCTGGGATTGATTGCCTTTTCCTAACACTAGTCTCACCGTTATTTGTGAGAAGTTGATTGCATGTTCCTTTCTGTGGTGCACCAATTGTTATAGACTACTAGGGGGTCATTAAACCATCACCTTTAAAAATATACTAAATTGAGTCAACCAATTGAGGTTCGCCGGTGTTTGTTTACCTTCTAATTACCTGCCTGCTGAGGATTAGCAAATAGCTTCCTAGTTCTAAACAGCAATCTTGTTCTTGTTGCTGACGTATAACAAACACTTAAAATGCTCCTTGAGTCAGTGGCACAACAGGCTCCCCCGGGCTTGCTTTGGATTCTGTTTGAAGCCTCTGAAATCAGGGCGCTCTGGTGTGCTTGGGCAAATAACCAGCGGTTTCATCATTGATCTTCAGGTTGGCTATCCAGCACAACTGTATCATGAAAGGGACTCCAGACTAGGCACCCACACAGCTGGATTAGAGGCAGCCTTCCCCACTGCCCATAATCAACACCCCAATAAGCCATAAAACTTGGCTTAGCTTCCAAACTGTAAAATAGCACAGGTAAGTTAGATAATCTTGCTGAGTCTCCGTCTGCCTTTTAACCCCTCTAGCCTGCTCCTCCCCCTCCAATTACTGGTCCTTGTGGTTGGTAGAGACTTCTCACCTATGTTATTTTTTCCCCTCTTGCAGGAGAAGACGAAAACACAGGGAAGTCAAACTGTGCCAGAAGAGTTGCCTTCCTTCACCTTGCACACCTCCCCGATGACACTTGCTCTTTCACCTTCACCTCTCACCTCTCATGATGTGCAGAGAATCTTTAAGGGGGCCTGCTGCTTCTCTTGATTGAGATCTCAGCATTTCACCCAAACATATTGTTGGTTCTTAGGCCCATAGATTGAAAAACTGTGGTCTGTGGTTTTCAAGTTGTGACCGAGACTGGACAGGTTGGTCTGTCCAATTAGGGTCAATGATTGTAATGACTCTAGGGTCAATGTTTAAAAGTTATTTGTGGGTAGGCATATAACTAACACAGGCCTCCATCCACTTCTTTTGTTGTTATTGATGGTGGTTTTCTTAACTCTTCAAAACTTTTTAGATATACATGGTAGTCACACCTATAACTTAGAGTTTGGAGGCTGATGCAGGACCACATACTGTCCAGGCCCAGCTGGACTACATAATAAGTTCCAGGCCAGATTGGTGTTAGATCATGAATCCCTGACTCATAAACAAAACTCAAAATTTCTCATGGGAATGGCCTCACCTACAGTAAAATGCTGAAGTCTCTACTATGCAGATAAATGAATTTTCATATATGTATATATCTATGTAACTGCCATAAGATATCAACACAGGGCATTTTCAGAAGATATATATATTTAGGACTGCGTCAAGGTATCACCAATGTTCCATCCCTTTGATGGTGTAGGTCCCAAGTATTTGACTTCTGGTTTCACTCAATTGGCAAACTTTTCATTTGTAAAATTCTGTTCCTCTTTAGTGTACAAATATACAATTGACATTTGCATAGCAGTCCTGAATATCCTCGAAGCTGAATAATTTCAGTTACTTGTTTAACTTTGAGATAGGCTTTCGACTTTGAACAAATGATCTCACCTGACTTCTCCAGCACTGAGATCAGCGTGAACATCAATTTGATTGGCTGAACTTACTT